AATACAGGTGAGAGTGTGCCTTGAACTAGAGATGTTTCACATTTTTTATCTCTAAGCCACTCGGTCAAAAGGTCAATACTTTAAAAAAAAACACTTCTACATCGGTCCGTGTCAAACTATCCACTTCGCTATGTCAGACCCTCCCTACAACTGGGACGTTTTCCCCCAAATTTAACACCTAATTTAACATTAATTGTCTACCGTCAAGTTTACACCATCCTTATTAGTCTCTACCAGGCCTCGTCTAGTCTTATTTTTATCTATCTACGCTATGGCAATACGCTAACAGCCCCTCATACAAATACCCCTCACCCCCACCCTCCCTCAGCCTCGACCCTATGTATTTTAAAATGGTTTTCAAAACATTTTCTATCGGTAACGATGTTAGGTAGAGGGACTGCTGGTTAAATAAGGCAAAATTAAACATTAAAGATCAGAGAGTATCTGATAGATCTCGCTTGTCTCGGCACATTCACTGATAAAGCTATTATTAAAGTGATGCTTGTTAATTACTTGGTGAAATTTTAACTCATACTTCTGACATTAAAAAAATAATTTAACTAAGCTATTAAAAAATCAATGATAAAGTAATATTTGCTATAGTTGAGAAATCAAAATTTGGGGCCTCTAAAATTCGGGGGCCCCTGGTTGCAGCCCTTTCAGCACCCCCTTAATCCGCCACTGATAGCAATCCATTGGGCAGATGAAGTAAAGTTCAGTATTTCAATGCTATGTTTCTTGACCTCAACTTATGAAAAGTCAGCACTATACCCAGCCGCCTTTACTTTCCCAAACATAGCTGTTTTGTAGCTGTTTTATCAATATCAGAACAATTGTTTTAGTCTGCTAGAGATTATAGATCTACATAATACTTATTTCCACTAAATATTGCTTGATTTGGTTTTATTAACGGGCGCTTCTAACTGACAGATTGGTTTCAAAGTTGGCACTTGGATCAAAACATGAAGACACGAAGACAATGCAATCTGACATTAAATTTGACTAAATTGGATACCTAATCAATAAACTTTTTATGAATTAATTAAAATTGTGTCCAAATTAGTAGGCTGTCTTATCCAACTATTCCGCACTATTATATTCGCGTTATCATGTTCATTAGGTGCCCAGTGGTTTTTAGTTATGCAACTCTATTGTAAATTTAAAAATTTTAAAGTAATGAAATTTTTTTAGCGCAATTTCCATTCTGGAGAATTGCGTTTATTAACTCGTCTTTTCTGGGAATGGATGGATGGATGTGTGTCCGCAGCTTTAAGTCGTATCTCCTCCTCAACGAAGCAATATCGAGGACTAGTTCCAAAAGCAATTATGTTAAGCAAGTTACGAGGATGAACATAGGCCATAAAAATTCCGGGTTTCTTTCATGGATTTCCCGGAAAAGCAAAAAAAACTCGAAAAAATGCAGTTTTTTGCCCACCTCTCGGCAACCAGACCACTAAGCGACTTGAAACATATACCAATCGATTTCTGCCATAATTTTGAACAATATTGCCGAAGAAAGTTTTCAAAAATATCCTTTCGTTTGGTCACTAACAATTTTTTGAATTAATTAAAATTTGGACCGAATTAGTAGGCATTTTTTGCAACCACACCACACGCGTCATCACGTTCAATAGCTGCGCCATCACATTCAATGGCTGCGACGTCACGTTCGGTAGCTGGGCGCGCAATGGTTTTTAGTCATGTTACTCTATTGTAAATAAAACATGTAAAATACTGAAAAAAAATTAATAAAAAACGTTTTAATAGCTAACCAATGGTTTTACTAACCCTGCTCTTGATTTACGCTACGACAGAGCTATTTTTAGATAACACAAGGAAATTGCGCTAAAATTGTCACTAGACTTTTTTAAATTACTTGTTTAACTTTAATAACAAGCTTTTATGTAGTAATGCACTAAAAATAGAAAAATAAATGATTTTTACTTTCTCGTATATACGAAGTATAGAGAAAGTCTTGTAATCGTGCACAAAAATCACATTAAATTTGGACAGTTTTCACCGTTTTACTCCGGGATGTAGGGACTTATTTTAATCGGGCAAAAATTATAAATCCAGATATATAAAAATTTTGGCGTTTTATGCGTAATGGAGTCGGAAAAACTGGATTATCCAATTATGCCCGTGTGTGTGTGTGTGTGTGTAAACACGATAACTTGAGTACCGTTACAGCTAGGTTGATGAAATTTCATATACAAGTATTATATCAAAATTGTAGATCCGTATCAACTTTTGAGCGATTTCCGATAACCGGAAGTGGAACTTTTTCTACTTTGAATTTTTCAAAAGCCTATAACTTGAGTACTAGTACAAAATATATAGAGTGGGAGGGGGTGGCGTGAATGTCGGAAGTTACATTAACTCAACGTTGCAAAATATACATGAGGTTGAGAATCGTAATAACTTATGTGTTAATCCATGTATGGGGGGGGATGTAAAAAAAAATGAAATACATTTAAAAAATGTGAATACATATACACATGCGTATATGCATTCTTACTTTTATGTAAGGTCGTTAGATTTGTCCAGATGAAGTATTATATAAACAATTGTTTGTAAAAAAGTAAACAAAGACTACGTCTATTTAAAAGAAAAACGAAAATCACAAAGTAGAGCATCCGTTTAAATAAATATTTCGTTATTAATTATGTTATGTATTCTACTAAAATTGTACACATTAATTGCTAAACTGAATTTAATATAATATTTGATTTATACTTTTAATTTTAAAGAAGCCTTTGCAGTTCTAATAACCTTGCGAGTAATAAGTTTGCGACTACACCAATGCTAGCATGACATACAATTACTCAGACTGTTTAAACTTAGGCCTTAAGCACTCCACATAACAGCCAATCACCAATTAATTAATCATTCTAATTCTCAAAAGTTATTTTTATTAGGCGTTCGCTTGGTGCGCAATTGTTTTTTCTATGAGATTCTATTCTATTTTAAAAAGTTTAAGTATTTAAAATGGATTAAAAATCATAACCATATCCCGAGTTCCCATCCCTTGTTGTTTTATATAAGAATATTCGAGAAAGGTTAGGGGAGATCAATCCCGGTTTATTTTTAAAATATATAATAATACACTACTATTTAAATAACTATAAAGAAAAGCGTGTGTCTCTTCCTAAATATTAGTTAAGGCATCCAATAGATAATAATAGTGCATAGTAGTGCATTATTATATATTTCAAGAAATTCGTTTATTTTCTACTTTTTAGTGCATTATTACATAAGAGCCTGTTATTAAAACGTTTTTTTTTTAATGATTTTTTTATCAGGCCTATGTTTATGCGTGATGCACCAAAATGCGTGTTTTAAAGAAGTATATTAAACCAGCTGCATCCCGTGCTCCGCCACGGTAAATCTTTTTTAAATGTACCAACTAGGGAACAGAACAAAACTAAACACAACACAAACGAACGAACGAAAAAAAAACACAAAAGAAAAAACAAACACAACACTCATAACATAAACACAATTTAAATGAAATCATAAAGGCATATTGCTCACAGTCTAGCCCGTAGCGCCAAATCGCGCCCTTCCCGAGCGCCGCCGGACGCGTCTGACACAGTGAATGACTATAAAACAGAGGCGTAGCGAACCTTTCCGGCGCCCGGGGAAAAACTTTCAATTTGACCCCCCCCCCCTCAAACTTACGATTTGCACCCCCTCTCCTCAAAATTTCAATTTCCACCCCACCCCCTTAAACTTTCGATTTGCACCCCCCCCCCCCCGTTCAGACTTTCGATTTGCACCACTTTTGATTTGAAAATCCCCCCCCCCCCCCTCAAACTTTCGATTTGCACCCTCCCACCGCCCTCAAACTTCCGATTTCCACCCCCCCCCCCGCACATTTTTTTTCAACCCACTTTGGCGCCCCCTTAGGTCGGCAACCGGGGACATATGTTTCCCCCCCCCCCTCTCTACGCCTCTCCTATAAAACCCCCAGCAGTATTTAAAATATACGTGTTTTACCTACCATATTATATCACTTTATCAATTCACGCATTTTTTTCCCAGTACTTTAAATTTTAAAAATTTACAATAGAGTTTCATAACTAAAACCATTTCGCACCAAATGAACGTGATGACGCGTCTATAATAGTGCTTAATAGTTGATTAAAAATTATAAGTAGTAAACATTACATTCAGTGAATAAAATAAATAAAAAAAAAATTCATAAAAAACGTTTTAATAACAAGCTTTTATGTAATGATGCACTAAAAAGTAGAAAATAAATTATAGACTACTATTTAAATAACTATAAAGAAAAGCGTGGGTCACTTTAGTATCTATTGGATACCTTTACTAATGTTAAGGAAGACACCCACGCTTTTCTTTATAGTTATTTAAATAGTAGTCTATAATTTATTTTCTACTTTTTAGTGCATCATTACATAAAAGCTTGTTATTAAAACGTTTTTTATGAAATTTTTTTCAGTACTTTACATGTTTTATCTACAATAGAGTTACATGACTAAAAACCATTGCGCGCCAGTAGAATATCACGTTCAGTAGGCGCGCAATGGTTTTTGAACGCAGCCATTACGTGGTCGTGATGGCGCAGCTATTGATGACGCGTGTGGTGTGGTTGGCTAGACATGCCTACTAATTCGGTCCAAATTTTAATTAATTCATAAAAAATCAATTAGGCATCCAATTAAGTCAAATTTAGTTTCAGATTGCATTGTCTTCATGTCTTGACCCACGTGCCAACTGTGAATCGTTTCGGTCAAGTAGAACTGTCCGAATTTTCACTCCTGCGTTTCCGTCTAGACTGACGACAGACTGTCGACTGACGACTTACGACAGAGGAAGTGAGTTAAATAAAAGCTTGTAATAAAAGCTTGTAAAATAGCCTTTTATCAATCAATGCTAATTATAATATTCCAACAATAATGTACTCTTACACGTCTGCATAATTTGCATTCACATTTTGCTAATTATATTATTCCAACAACTATTCCTTCTTGCAGATTCTGCATTCACATTTTTAGCGTGAGTTCAATTTATTTTTAAAATACCTCCCTTGGCAAAATTACTAAACAGTTTAATTAGATTTTTCTAACCTACAGTTATTATGTTAAAAAATGTATCCACTTTTTCTAGGAATATTAACGAAAACGATATTTGACATTGATCCTTTTAATATGTTTTAGCAATGTGCGTGTATTTAATATTCTCTTTACGTTATGCAATATTGTACAAACAGTGGAAATTATAAAATAGCTCTATGTCGTTATATAAACAGACCCTACTCTAATACTTATAATAAGACAATGCGATGCACTGCAAAGCACTAAATGGTGCGATGTTTACTTTTATGGTTCCAAAATCTATAGCGATGACGGACGGACGGAAGGAAGGAAGGAAGGACAGACACAGCCCGCTTATATTATAGATTATATTATAGATGATGCTACATTTTATAATATAAGTATACCAAGGTCATTGTTTTACTTTAGCTGTATGTTGTGTCCACCTTTACTCCCACACATGCGTTATGAAATGTCACTGAAAACTCCAAATTTTTTCTTTTTTTGCATACATTTTTATCTTACATTTTTAGCGCAATTTCCATTCTGGAGAATTGCGCTTATTAACTCGTCATTTCTGGGAATGGATGGATGGATGGATGGATGGATGTCCGCAGCTTTAAGTCGTATCTCCTCCTCAACGAAGCAATATCGAGGACTAGTTCCAAAAGCAAATATGTTAAGCAAGTTCCAAGGATGATTGTTGGCCAAAAAAATTCCCGGAATTTCTTCCTGGATTTCCCGGAAAAGCCAAAAAACCTCGAACAAATGCAGTTTTTGCTCCATATCTCGGCAACCAGACCACTTAGCGACTTGAAACATTTACCAATCGATTCCTTCCATAATTTAGACCAATATTGCCGAAGAAAGTTTTCAAAAATATCCTTTCGTTCGGTCACAAAAAATTAATTAAGAACTTTTAAACTGAGCACCGTGTAGGTTTTTAGCACAAAGCTGAGGTTCGAAAGGATTTTACCATAGCGAATGAGCGGAGGTTCGAAATGATTTTTTTTAAGCCGCAGGCGAAGGACGAGGAGGGTAAATCATGTGACCTGGCTGGCTTAGCAGCGAACTGCGCGAGCAGTTCTATATAGCAATATAGAGAGCGCGACAACTAAATACCCCCTACACGTCCGCAATTTTTTAAAATCTCGTTAATAAATATTTTTTCTATTTTGTTTTGAATTATTAAAACTACTTGTGTTGCATTATTTATTTGCTGAATATATGATTTATCTCGATTTAAAATTGATATGGATAACATAAGGAAATTGCGCTTAAATTGTCACTAGACTTTTTATTAACTTGTTTTATATTTGTTCTTCAAGCATGTCGTCATCTCATGTTATTAAAATCAGAGCACTATATAAAGCCTTGATGAAACTTCACAGAGGACTTCCATTAGAGTTTCAACAAATTGGAAATAGTTATGTGAGGGCAGAATTTCAAGCACACAAGTCAGCTCAAGCAGAAAATGCAGAAATATTTGTACGAGAATGGACTGTAAGTATTGTTTAGTTAGCCTACTTAAAACTTTTTCAATTTAGTCAACTATTTAAGTAGCCCACGGTGTCCCTAGTGAGTGGCTCTATTTAAAAATATGAATGTATGTACGCAGTGGCGTAGCGAGGTCGGGTGTCACCTGGTTCGATACTTAATGGTGTCACCCCCCCCCCCCCCCCCCGTTATATATATATATATATATATATATATATATATATATATACATATATATATTGTTACGTCCCGACCTACCTAGATCTTTCGATTTAGGAGGGGAGGTAGACAAGAACACACGTTAAATATAACGAACACCTTTTCAATAACAACGTAAGTTTAATCTTCACAACAGAGATACAATATATTGAAAAGTAACCGCCATCAAAATACAACACAAAAATCCTACCACCTATTCAAAACTATACTATCTACAACTACACGTCCTAACTGGTGAGCTGCCGTACCCTGACTGTCTTAACCCTCCTAGTCCTAACTTCTTTGTCTCCCCCATCCGGTCTAACCTAATTTACATGTCGCCAACAGTTCTGTCGTGCCTGATTAAAGTGTCAGACCTTGCTAATAAAGTACCCCCATTACGATCACGTAGGCAAACTAGATACGTGTCTTCTACACCTACCCCCATTGATGATGCCGTCGTCCGTAATTACAATCTAATTGCAACACGTACACCGCTAATCGTCTTCGTCAATACCTGTTTAGTCTGGGTCACGTCTCTCGTCAACCCTACCCCTCCAATCTATGCCCCCACAGTCGTAACAATATATATATATATATATATATATATACATACATATATATATACATACATATATATAATATA